AGGTGAGCTATCCCCTACCACAAGGGGCTCCCTCGAGCTAGAATTTACAGGCACACGCCACCCCCCCCCCCCACCTCCACTCTCCCTGCCACTGCTAACCTGATTTCCATCTCTTGTATATGGTCTGTCCCCTGCCTTACCATTTTGCCTTTTTCTAGACTGTACTTTAAATGCAAATATACAGCTTTCCCAAACTGGCTTTTTCTCAACTCAGCGTAATGCCCTTGAGGTCCGCCCAAGCTGTCAACAGTTTGTTCCCTTCTGTTGCTGAGTAGGGATCCACCGTTAGGACGTGGCTAGAGACATCATAAGTAAAGCTGCTCTTGATATTCAGAGGATTTGTGGAATACGAGTTCTCATTTCTCTAGCATAAATGTCTAAGAGTGTGACTGCTGGGTCATAAGTGTATGTTTAGTTTTTAAACAAAACCACCCAACTATTTCGCAGAATGGCTGTGCATTTTACACCTCCACCAGTAATACATGGGGCATTCGGCTGATCAGCATCCCCACCAGCACCCCCACCAGCACTTGATATTTCACAAATTTTTATTTTATCTGTTCTAAAATGTGTGTAGTAATATTTTGAAAAGGCCTAAGTTTACATTTCCCTTAATTTGCAAAAGCCAGTAATGCTGAGTGTCTTTATTTATTTGCCATCTGTGCATTGTCTTTGGTAAAACTCCTCATACCTTATTTTGTACTTGGACTCTAGTGCTCCTGTGTACTACTTCAGTACATTTCTCGGAGTTCTTAAAAGATTCTAGACACGAGTCCTTTGTCAGATATGTGGTTGCAAATATCTTCTCTCAGTCTATGGATCATCTTTTTCAATCTTGATTTCTTTCTTTAATGGGTGACACTTTAGATGTTGTGTCTGAGAACTCACCAAGGTCTAGGTCCCAGGGAGTTTCCACTACATTATCTTCTCAAAGTTTTAGTATTTTACATTTAGATCTATGATTCAGTTTCAGCCAATTTTTGTATAGGGTGAGATTTAAGACAGGGCTTAGCTTTTTGGCCTGAAGATATCAGACTGCTTAAACATGGTTTGTTCAGAGGCCTGCTTCCTTCACAGTTTGCTTTGTCCTTGTCAGAGATCAGCTGGACATGTGGAGGAGCTGCATGAGCTGCTCCACCCACCTGGGAGTTGTCCTTCACCAACACCACATCTCCAGTGCTATAGCCATACAAGACCTGAAGTCAAGGGCGGGCTCCTCCTGCTGGTTCCCTCCCTCCCTTCCCTATTCCAGTGCTTTCCCAGATACATATTTGAATCATCACATCTACAGCTACAAAAAATTTTGCTGAGATTTTGGTGGGAATTGTGTTAAATGTGCCCATCATGTCTATAGAAATGATGTCTTTACAATGTTGATTTTTTCCATTCCGTGAATGCAACATGTTTCCCCATTTGCTTGTATCTTCTTGGATTTCTTTTATTGTTTTTAACCTTGCAAGTCCTACACATTTTGTTAAATTTACACCAAAGTATTTCATTTTTACATGACTGTTAATGGTGTGACATTTAAAATTTCTTTCCATGTGTTCATTACCAGTATATAGAAATAAATTTTACTTTTGGGTATTGGTTGCATATTCTCTGCAACCTTCCTAAACTGACACTAATCTACTACCTTCTTGCTGGACTCCCTGGGATTTTCCAAGCCATCTGCACCAGGAACAGTTTCATTTCTCCTTTACTGTAGATTTCCAATAAGGCCCAGGCCTTACTGCATTAACTAAAACAGGATGTGTTTCTTTTTTTCTTTTCTTTTTTTTTTTTTAAGAGAGAGTGAGAGAGGAGAGAGTGTGAGAGAATTTTTAATATTTTATTTTTTAGTTCTCGGCGGACACAACATCTTTGTTGGTATGTGGTGCTGAGGATCGAACCCGGGCCGCACGCATGCCAGGCGAGCGCGCTACCGCTTGAGCCACATCCCAAGCCCGGATGTGTTTCTTTTTAAATGTGACAAACCTCTTCACAGAAACTATCTGACTATTTGTGTAAAAAACTTAAAACCTAAAAATTGGAGAGAGATGTCATGTTCATGAACTGAAAGAGTCAATATTGTTAAGCCATCAACCCCCAAAATTGATCTACTGACTCAGGACAAACCCAAGCAAAAATTCCAGCAGGAAGTCTTTTAATAGACATGGATAAGCTTGTGTTAAAACATATCTTTTTAGGACAACACAGAAGAACTCAAACAATTCTATAAAAGAATAGAGTTTTTATAATGCCTGATTTTAAGACTTAATATAAAGTAATGCTAAGAGATTTTGGTACTGGTGGAAGAAAAGCTACATAAATCAACTGAAGAGAAATGCGCGTCCACAAAGTAGCCCAAATATCTATGAACAATATGATTTTTGAAAAGTTGTCAGAGTAATTCAACGTGAAAGGGAAGTGATATGAGAAACCCAGAAGATCTTTATGGACAAAATGACAAACACACACACACACACACAAAACAACGTCCCCAACCACTTCAGACACAAAACAGATGCAAAATGGACCCCAGATCTAAATGTACTAACCAAAACTCTTGATTGTAAATAGAGAAAATCCTTGTGATTTTCAGTTAGGAAAAAAATTCTGTGCTGCAAAAGTTCTCAGATGATCCTCAGTGATACATGTCCTGGTACTGTTTCATCCTCCAGAGTGTGGGAGGAGCCTGTGAACAAAAATCACCTTGACATTGTGCAGTCCTTGAAGGGGTCCTGGGACCCTAGAGCACACACAGAGACCACTGTTGTAGGGAGATGGGCACAGGTGGACCAGACTGCCCTGCAGCAGGATCACCATGGTCCAAAGCAGAAGTGACCACTATCTACCTCCAAATGTGACAGATGAACTGCARTCCTGTACAACAGAACTGCAAAGAGCCAATGAGGAGATCATGACCACTTGTCCCAGTTTGTGGAGTCTCAAAATGCCACGGAACAAAGAAATGAGTCGGAATAAAAATTTCAAGTGATTATTTACATTCTTTATTAACTTTATTTACAGTTAAAAAACAGACAAAGCTAAACACACTAGTTATAAGAATGAAAACACATACAGTGCTTCCTCTGTGGCAGATGCTACTGCAAGTGTCTTCTGTTACTAACTCTGCTGGTCCTCACAACACCTGAGGCAGGTGTCAGCCCATCTTGCAGAGGAGAGGAGACACAGTGGTCATCTGGCTCCTTAGATGACAATTTAGGGATAGACAGATGGCAAAAATACAGGAAAAGGAAAGAAGTAACTACCCCAGTCTCAGAATAGTGGTTCTGCTGGGTGGAGGTAATGGGTAGAGGGGTATATAAGTTCCTGTAGAAGTTCTAAATCTGAGTGGTGGGCACTGACGTGTTTGGTGGTTTTTTTTTGGGGGGGGTACTGGGGATTGAACTCAGGGCACCCACCCACTGAGCCACATCCCTAGCCTCTTTTTTTTTTTATTGATTTTTAAAAAATAATGACATGGGGCTGGGGTTGTGGCTCAGTGGTAGAGCACTCACCTAGCATGTGTGATGCCCTGGGTTTGATCCTCAGCACCACATAAAAATGAAATAAAGATATTGTGTCCACCTACAACTAAAAAATAAATATTAAAAACAAAGAAAGTAGGGAATGTCAATGAGCAGTGTGTGATGATTGAATAAATATATTAAAAAATGAAAATAAATGACAGTGGAATGCATTACAATTCATATTACACATATAGAGCACAATTCCCAGCCTCTTTTTTGTATTTTTATTTAGAGACAGGGTTTGAGTTGCTTAGTGCTCCGATGTTGCTGAGGCTGGCTTTGAACTTGTGATCTTCCTGCCTCAGCCTCCTCAGCCTCCCCAGCCTCAGGATTACAGGCGTGCGCCACTGTACCCAACCTTGGTTTGTATTTTAATCTGTGCATGTTTCAAACCCTCTTTTATAGTCATATAGGATATGAGGAACACTTATATATTGTAATTAAAAAAAAGAGAGAGAGAGGTGGGGAGGAAAAAAATAACCCCAAACAAATTCAGAGTGAAGGCTATTAAAAACAAGTCCTTTAGGCCAGGCAACTCCTTCCAAGCAGCTTTTCAGAAGTGTGTGCAGATCTCATTAAACACAGTCCTTCCGCCTCTTCTCAAAGCCCCTTGATCAGCGAGCTCCTTTTATAAAGCCTTGCTCCTGGCTTTCTGCCACTCTCTCCACCAAGCACACTGCCCAGGCCAGAAGCAACTAGTAGCTTTGTCATATGACTGGGAACACATCAAAATGACTTATTTTTTAAAAATAGAAAACCACCTGGTATCTCAAGGTCGAGGAATTAAGAGTTGACAAAATCAAAGACCTCTATGTGCACCACGTAAACTGGGCACACAAGTGACCACGGCAAGTCACTAGTTGAACAGAGGACTGCTCTTTCCTATTGCTCGTGTCTCCACCTTGGGCAAGGGGAGAACTCGGAGAGATGACTAAAGAGCCAGAAAATCACCAGCGGTTCAAGACTTCCAAGTAGGAGAAAGGTCATTTTCTACCAAAACAAATTGCTTGGGCTCACTTCTAAGCAGCCTGCCTCTCAGCATCCGCACACCGTCTGTTTGTGCCAGCCCCGAGGCCAGGCCAGGCCAGGCCAGGCCAGTGTCTCATCAGCACAGCAGCCCCAGCAGCCCCACCAGAAGCAACCTGTCCTGAGCACGGGAAGCACCTGGGGCTAAGCCCCCCCGCCCCAAGCCAGCGTCAGCACTGGGTTTCCTCACTGCTGGGCACAGTGTATTCTTTAGTCCAGAGACACCAGGAATGACGGCACAGTGTCGGATCTGTGCGGTGTCCAGTGGCCCTGCGGAGCAGCCCGTGCAGGCTCACACACACTCCGGGAGCCATGACAAACCTGCTGCTGTCCTTTTAAGCCTTCCCAGCCCCCTCCCTGAAATCCGTCTGCACTTCCTTCTACAGGCAGCTTATCCAGAGAGCTAAGTTTAGCTACTACCATTTCTAATCTTTCCTCCAGGGACCTGGCTGAGTTCTGCCTCCCAGAGGCACCAGCCCCTGGTTCACTCTCGGCTGCAGCTGCAGGTCCTCCCAGCAGCCCAGCTTCCTTGGGCGGGYGGGCGCGCTTCCAGCTGACCTCCCTCACCCTGCATCCATCCTGCCTGGAACCAGTCTTCACACCTTTTGGGAGAGCTTGTTTAGACCCCAGGCAACCCAGCTCTGCTACTTCCGTGCTGTGGATGGCAGGTCACCTCTCCAGGCCTGTTTTCCCTTCTGTCAGGTCAGAATGACACCCCTGTTCACAGAACTATCTTCAGGCTGAGGGTGCAGGGTGACCCGGGGCAGGCACTGGAATGGCAGCCCCGCCATTTGACTGAAGCCACTGCTTGGGCTCCCAATTCCAGGATGGCAGACTTGATGACAGGATCTGGGACATTACAAGAGGAAAGTAAAGTAAGAGAAAGATCCAGGAAACTTTTATTTTTTAAATTTTTATTAACCTAATGTTACTCAGGTCAACTGGAAAGAGAACACAGGCATATCGTCCTTCATGCCTACCGGAGCTGGCACTGTCCTCTGGAAGCACCGTTTTCTATCTGATTTCTAAGGACAGAAACAATTCCCATTTTACAGAGGATCCTGCTTCCAAAACCAGCCTCCAGCCCCAAATGCAAATTAAATTTCACTTGATTTACAACTTGCAGCTCTTGGGTCTGCTTTCACCATATGCTTGGATTTGCTAAAAAACAACAAAATGAAATGCTGCAATGAATAGTTGCCAGAACGGGCTGCTGGAAAGTGAGAAGCCTGTGCACTGCCCTCACAGAAGAGAGTGTGGCTGGGAGGTGGAGGCTGAAGCCCCGGGAGCACCAGGCCTGCCTGGAAAAGAGAAGGTGGAGAAGGCGCTAAACCAGGACGTTTGTGCTTTGAAGGTAATTAAGGACAAGTAGCTCTTCAGATCACTCCAAGACCACGTTTTCCCACCTGTCAGGTCAACAAAATGCCAGGACCTGAGAAAACAACCTGCACGGATGCCCACTCCTCTCCACCTGCCTCTCTCCAGCCCCTCCACAAACACGTGAAAATAAGACACCAAAACACCAACTGGAGACACCAAATGGCTGTGGCTCCAAGGGTGGGGAGGCAAACAGGATTCTCTTTAGGGAGGTTCTGAGGGCTCTGTGCCAAGCCCTGCTCACAACAGACCTTGGTTCATGAAAGATGGCAGAGGGTAACAGACAGCTCAGCTCAATGGCAAAGTCCAATATTGGCTGCAAGGTGCCAGGCACTGGGCGTTTGCATCCTGGACATATTTTCTTTCTTTAAATCCAGATGGAGCGCAAGGATTCTTATTTTCCTAGTTGAAGAAACCAAAGCTTTAGAAGTTAATTTGGCCAAGGTCAAAGTGCCTCTGGAGTCCGAGCTCTCAGCCGCTGGGGCACCGGGCTGCAGGGATGAGCAGAGGCTGTCAGCTACCAAAGACCGCACGCCAGGCTTTCGACTCAGAGGCCAAGTGCAACTGAATTTCCTAAACATTAGACTACAAAATCCAAACAAGGACAGCCCTCCCCCTCCCAATGGGACCTGAATGCCACACAGTGAGAGGGAGCACAAGCTGCAAGGTGTTGAGAGGAATAGGCATGTGGAAGGGACCCCCCAGCAGTGGAGGTGCGCCAAAGGGAAAGGGTCACAGTGCCCTTTGGCTGGAGACTGACCAGGCCTTGTCCTCCCCCACCACAGGCCCAACAAAAGGAAAAGAAAAGCGTTCAAAGCGGCTTCAGTCTGCCAAACACTGAGTCATCCGCAGTGCGGGGCGGAGGGCTCTCTGGAGCAAGAACAGGCAAGCTCTGCCCATGGAGCCACTTGTGCTGTGGCCACAGGGAGGTGAGGCCAAAGCAGGGATGCCTGACTCCAATGTGGGCGCCAGCTGGGGCCTCCGCCCCTCATAAAACACCCTGAGCTGTCCCCCCTGGCCGACAGGCCACAGGGCACAGGAGCACAGACTCGGTGCGCCAGCTCTCCACCCGCGCTCTGAGCCTGGCTGCGAGAAGACAGGGGCCAAAAGTTCCTTCTTCGTTGCTGACCAGATTTGGCAGCAGCCCTGGGAAGTCCCCTTCCTCACAGAGCCATCTCTTCAATTTTTTGCTGACAAGAGGTTAGCAGGATTTCATCGGAGATCTGCCCCAGTACACACACTCAGGAATGGAAGTTCATGGGGAATTTGTGTCCCCACACCTGAAGGAGGAATGGCACAAGCACTGAAGGGGATGCCCAGGCTCAGCACAGGTCGCCCTGTGAGAACTCGTCCTCTGCCTGACTAATGGGGGAGGGGGGTCAAAGCCTCCTCTGTACAGCTGCCTGGGTGCCCTCAACCCTGCCACCAAGCCACTCCAGGACACAGCTCTATGTGCATGCACCCATGTACCAAGAATTGTTTCAACTTGAAAGAGCCCCAGAATCAAAGCTAGCTAGAAGATAAAGAATTATTTCAAGGTCTAAAATACCTTGATAGAGCTGCAATGACAATATTTATTTTTCCCAATGACAGACACCAAGAAGATTCTGGATGTAGGCACCCCTGGTACCTGTGTGGGTTGCTTATTGTGCCATCATATTCAAAATTTGGCATTTTCACTAACTACTCTGAATTAACCTGAAATAAATCACATTGGTAATCTCCAATCTTTAAAAAAATTGCCTTAGAAGGCAAATTAGACTGAACAAAATGATCTTTATSGAAGTCCTGGTGTGTCACCAAAGGAGATGACTTCAGTATAGAACAACCTGGCCAAGTTGTCTGGCATGTCTAGACAGTGCACAGGTCCAGGCAGAAAAGCAAAGTTTGAATGAAATTTCTTACGTGAAACCAATTTGCCAAATGATTTTGTGCTCAAACCTCAATCAGTAACCAAGCTTCATTTCCTTCCTTCCCTGCATTAGAAAATGAGATGAGAAATAAATATCCAGCCAGCTTTCCTCCCATGAGAACCGTGCCAGACACGCAAGAACTCAGGCTCCTGTAAGTGAAGTGCCACCTGGAGCCAGTCTTCATGGGACAGCCGTGGAGCCCAACCAGCCATGCCTTGGCACCTCCCAGAGCAGTGCCCAGCAAAATGTCARCCACCAGCTTCAGCAGGAGCTTCTTGGACAGAGGGGACATTTGAAAGGTATCAATAAATCGCTTCTCAAAGCAACATGTTTTCCACCTTCTCAGAGAATTTTGCTTGATATTTCTAAAAAAACTCTAAATCTCAGTAAATAGGAGTAAATTGTAGGATTTCACAAAACTTTGCTTCTTAAAGCTGTTATTAGCTGGTATGGGAAGATATGASGTTCTCTTCTAAAAGAGAACATTCATTGATAAGTGAAGAATAGATTAAAACAACAACAGCACACCCCATTTTGTTTTATCTATTCACCGACTGTGGGTGAGCAGTTGGGTCTCCATTTCAGTGGAGTCTGAAATGTACAATCGCTGCAGGGAAGGGGCATTACCAGCACTGTGGTGGCAACTCTGCTCCCTGCTCACTGTCTTCACAGTGTCCCACCCTTTACTTGGAAAGACAAACTCACTCCTCTCCAAAGATCATTAAACCATCATTAAGAGACCCTGGTTCTGGTGCAATGTTAGATAAGAAGGGAAGAATGGGAAGAAAGAAAAAAACATTATTTATTGCAACACTCACCCCCAAAGAGTAAAACTTCAGCTCTCTCATAAGCACAATTAATAYATTTATCTTTCATTTTAAAAGGGTGCTGAATAATATCCACGGCAACATCATTTGTAATAGACAAAAAGTAGAAACGATCAACTGCTCATCCCACAATTGGTGAAGAGATAAAACAAACTGTGATTTATCGGAGCCAGGGAATACCTTTCAGCAGTAAAAATGAATGAAATCCTGATACCTGATGATCAGTACAATCCAAGTGACCTGAAACACATTCTGCAAAGGAAAGAAGCCAGTCACAAAGGCTATCTATCATACAATTCCATTTATAGGAAATGTCCAGAAAAATCTACAGAGTGGCTCTCTGGGCTGGGAGCTGGGGTAAGTGCAAATAGGTCTGAGGGACCTCACTGGGATGATGGAAATGTTTTAAAAACAGGTTTATGACTGGGTATATAGCTCAGTGGTTCAGTGCTTGCCTAGCATGTACAAGGCCCTGGGTTCAATCCCCAGAACTGGAAAAAAAAATGGGTTAATGGTGATATCTGAACAATTTGGTACCTATACTTAAAGTTATTGAATTTTGTACTTTAAAAAACTGCATAAAAAGAAAAAAGTTTCTGTAAAACCAAGTTATTTACTTAAGAATGGTCCTGTTTTGCTCACACTGAGAATTAATCATCCCCCATTTAGTAACGCCCAAGTGGCTCAACACTGCTTCAGGTCTAAGATCCATTTCAGAGGCTCAAAGCGTTCGGGCAGGAAAGCTCCCACTGTAAAGTCTGTTACCGGCTGTTTTCATCTTTATTAAACCACAGATATTTAACCAAATAGCAGCAGGAAGTTAAACAGACCCCAAATGTCAATTAAAAGAAAACTGAGTAAGATCCCTAAGTCAATTAAAAGAAAACTGAGTAAGATCCCTAAGTGGAAGTACAGGCTCTGGCATGTCCCCTTCAAAGGTCCTTGCATGCTCCCAGTACAGGGAAGAAGGAGAGGAAGCGCCCAGAGGATGGAGCAGCCCCTCCCGTGCTGAGCCCCTGGAGAGAAAGGTGGGCACAGCGTAGGCTTGGTGCTGTTGGAGTCCAGGATTCCCAAATTGGGTCTGCAGAGGCACATCCTCAAAGAGAGGCCTGGAGAGAAGGAAGTGCACATCTCTCCTAGAGAGGCCCAGAGCTGCAGTGTGGGCCGGTGCCCAGAGGTCTGTTCTGCTTCCATTCGACCCATTTTTCTCAAATTTATTTACCATCTAAATCCTTTTTCATCTAAGACCAAAACTACTCTACTCCTTCTTAAAAGCTAGACAGACAAACAAAAACAAAGAAACAAACAAAAAAACCCCAAACCCTCTTTATAATGTGTTTTATGAAAAAAGAGGGAAATCACTGTCTTTATAATTTACTGAAACACTTTAGTGCCTAACAGGAAGTCCCTAGCTTTCAGATTTGAGTTGAGACAAGGCAAGAGTTAAGAGGGAGACACCAGTCAGAAACAATCCTAACAATCCTATAAAAGAGAGGGGTGGGGGAGAGGGAGGGAGGGTGAGAAGGAGGAAAGGAGGGGGGAGAGGGAGAAGAGGGGGAGAGGGAGGAGAGAGAGAGAGAGAGGGAGGGGAGAGAGAGAGAGAGAGAGAGAGAGAGACATCAAACATGTACATGCACAAATGAGGTAGGTGGGAAGCAGACTGCAGTTCTCAGTACTCTTACAAATTTTAGTGTGAAATTATTTCAATCTTTTTTTTAAACAAGAGACATTATACGTTCATAAACATGAGCATAAATATGACCACAAAAAATATTTCAAAAAGGAGTCAGTTAAGAGTCTGCTCCATGAAATGCTTGTACCAGATAAGGAAGCCCAGAATATCCAGTCCTGAAAGTGGTTTTCCCACACCAGATCTCCCTTCCAGTCTCTGCCTTCCCTATCAGAGGCTTGGGTGACAAGCTCCCTGGGCTGGCCAGGCAGGGGTTTTGCTGTGAGATCCCACCTAYTGACTTCCGTGGATGATGCGCTCTGATCTGAAAGGTGAAATGGATCCTGTCTGCCCGGCAGAACCCCCAGCTTTCCAATAAAGACATCACAGGAGGATGAGCACGAAGCTCTCCCTTAAGGGAGAACTGCAGGCATCTTCTAGAAGGCTCCCAGGCCCACAGCACTGGTGTCCTCCATCTGGCTTATTACTGACTGAGAAGTGTAACCGAATGCAACCTGGGATTTTTTCTGACCAGGTTACAGTTGAGATTCTGTATGATGCTATTTGTTCAATCACTTCCACCCTCCAAACCATCCCAATAACAATTTATCTTCACAATTATCAAGGTGGAGCTCAGCTTTGACTTCATAATGCAGACTTTTCTCTATTGGTATCTGGGTAGCAGGTCTGGCTTTTTTCCTAACAGATAAACAAATCATTTTCTTAACCATGGGTTAGGGGTCCAGGCCTGCCAGCCAATTGAATCAAAGACAGGGCTGCTCTTGGAGCTGGGGCACCATCCAAGTGTGCTTGAGTTTTTCTTTTGTTTCTGAGCAAGCTCTAAWGGTTTCAGCCCCAGCTGAGCACTGGGGCAGCCTTGGGAAGCCRCCTCTCCTTCCTCCCAGCATGTGCCAGCGGGTCCTGTGGGGAATGCAGAGATTAATTACAGCTGGACTTGCTCAATCCTCTTAGAGAATGGAATCTTTAGAGACTTAAGGAAGTGTTAATTATTTTAAATGCTTCTGTCCCGGCAGAATGCACAGTGTGGAGGTAGGTGGACTCTATCTTGTAAGGCAGAAAAAGAATCCTCTGGTTGCTCTGTGTCATGAAAAAAATGAAAACCCTTCCTTAAGGAAAAGAAGCAAAATCCCAGAAATATGAATCCCAGGATCCCAAATTACTTCCCCAAACTCTAAGCCTGGATCTTTATAATGTGTTAAAATTTAAGGGGAAAATAACTTCTTGGTTTTGTCAAGCTGATGGCAAAAGTCAATACAATTAGATTTGTCAAATGAATGGGCAGAGAATAGTGGGTGCTCTGTAAACCTGAGACTTCATTTCTGACTCAAATATTCAGTTAAAGGTCAAGAAAGCCAGCAACAAGAAGTAGGGAGCTCTGCATTCTGTTTTCATCATGGCGCTGTCTTTCCTGTGACCCGTTTCACATCTCCACATACATACTTTTTTGCGTGTGTAAAAAACATGTTGACATAAACTTCACCATCTCATCCACTTCTAAGTGTATGTTTCAGTAGTGTCAAGTACATTTGCATTGTTTTGAAACATCTCCAGAGCTTTTTCATCTTGAAAATCTGAACCTCTATGTCCATTAAATAGAAACTCCCCTTTCCTTCTCCCCCAGGCCTTGGAATCACCATGAGCTTCTATCTCCATAAATTTGACTAGTTAGATACCTCACGCAGCTGGAACCCTATAGTATTTGTCTTTCTGTGACTAGTGTATTCCCCTCAGCATCATGTCCCACATGTCCACTCCTGCTGCAGCATGCATGGGTATTTCTTTCCTTTTTAGGACTGAACACCATCCCATTTTATGTATAGACCACATTTTGTTTATAAATTCACCTGTCAATGAACACCTGGGTTGCTTCCGCCTTTTGGCTATTGCAAATAATGCTGTACAAAAAATGGACGTGCAGGGGCTGGGGTTGTGGCTCAGTGGTAGAGTGCTTGCCTACCACATGTGAGGCACTAGGTTCAATCCTCAGCATCATGTAAAAATAAATAAATAAAAGTATTGTGTCCATGTACAACTAATTTTTTAAATGACATGCAAATATCTCTCTGAGATCCTCTTTTCAATTCTTTTGCATATATATCCAAAATTGAAATTGCTGGACCATATGGGAGTTCTATTTTTAATTTTTAGAGGAACCTCACTATTTTCTACAGTGGTTGCACCATTTTGTATTCCCCACCAGTGGTGCACAGGGCTGCAATTTTTCCAGATCTTCACCAACACTTGATATTTTCTGGTTTTTCCATTGATAGTGGTCATCCTACTGGGTGTCTGGTGGTATCTCAATGTGAGTTTCATTTGTACTTCTCTGATGACTAGTGATGTAGAGCACAGTTTCATAGGCCTGTTGGTCATTTTYAGGTCATCTCTGGAGAAATGTCTATTGAAGTCCTTTGTCCATTTTTAAATCAGGTAATTTGATTTTTTTGTGTGGTTGAGTCACAGGAGACTTTGTATATTCTGGATGTTAATCATGTGTCAGATCTACTATTTGCAACTATTTTCTCCCATTTTGCAGGCTTATCTGATATAGTGCCACATTTGTCCTTGTTTGTTGCCTGGGTCTTTAGACTCACATCCAAGGAATCACTGCCAAATCCAGTAACCATGACACTTTCTCCTTTGGTTTTATTTTCGGAGTTTTATAGTTTTAGTTCTTATTTATTTAATGCATTCTGAGTTAAGTTTTGTAAGTTTTTTATATGATGTAAGATAAGGGTCATTTTTTTTTTAAATAATTGTCCAGTATTCCATTGAATTAAGTGTGCAAAAGTTACTTGCCCCTACCAATAGCCATTCTGGTGAACTTTTTCCAGTGTTGTGCTACTATGAGCAATGATGGCTTGATATCCTTTGTAGAAGCTTCTCATGCTTGAGAGCAATCATCTCCCAATCTGTTTAGTAGTTAAAAATCAACTTTGGTGGGCTCATTTTTAACTTTATTTTGAAATTTTTGACTGCTTTGTTGTATTGCAATTCCTTGCTTTGAAACCCTCGGCTCCAGGTAAATTTTGGAATTCAGAATTTCAGAGTTTGGAGAAGTAATATGGTACAAAATATCACCAGGTGTGTTCTGGGGTAACAACTCCAGTCAAATACTTCAGTATGTCTACAGTAACAAACACATGACTTCTGCTCCTACCATCAATGCCCTGGCAGCTACCCTCATGCAGCTGTATTTATGTGCCTAAGCTCGATACCTGTACATAGAACTGCTGGGTCAAAAAGTATGCACATTGAGCTGGATGCAGTGGAGCACACCCATAATCCCAGAGGCTTGGGAGGTCGAGGCAGGAGGACCATGAGTTCAAAGCCAGTGTCAGCAATAGCAAGGCACTAAGCAACACAGTGAGACCCTGTCTCTAAATAAAATACAAACTAGGGCTGGGAATGTGGCCAGTGCCCCTGAGTTCAATACCCAGTACAACCACCCCCTGCCAAAAAAAAATTACACCATTGAAATTTTTAGTATTTTGGTCAAAAATGTCTCTCAAAATGGTGTGCTGATTTATATATCCCAAAGAACAAACATTTAAGATMTCTGTTTCCCCATACCCTCAGTACACTGGTATTATCTAATTTCACCCCAATTTGATGGGAAGCATAGTTTTTTTTTTTTTTTTTGATTGTTTTGTTTTTATCTTGGGGGTTAGGGGTCCATTACTTTTTAATATTTCCTTTACTTTTATAAATAATTTATAAGAAAAAGTCACATAAAAATGAATGATGGTGACATGCAGAGGTAAGATTCAATTCAAGTATTGTGTGGAAAATATGTTCTTGAGATAAATACCCCAAAACAAATCTAAAATGCATGACTTTGCTGATGTTCATTGCCTTACATATTATAAATGGGATAACCATTTGCCCTAGTGAGTCCCACTTTAAGCTTATTCTCTTGGCATAATTACTGCTAGGCAAATTTACTAAGTAATTTTGCTTAGTAACAAACATGCTATGATTTGTGTATCAAATGGTCACACAGAATTTAAATTTAGATCCGGCATGCCTACACAGACTCTGAACTGTATCAGGGAAGGGGAGTTCAAGGCTTGACAACTCGCTGGGCCGGTTATAAGCAATGCTGTTCCCTCCCACCTGGTTAAGTGTTATATTCAGATTTTCTGAGTACCAGAGCTAATGGGATGTGCACTTGTAATTTTGTTTCTTCAGGCTGGATCCATACAAATAAAAATTGTTGAAGACACATGTCCTGCTGTACCCCCAAGGAATGGCGATGCCTATAAAGTGCTAAGACTTAGTCAACGTCTTAAGATCATAGGAACGTGGACCTGGAGGGACAGCAAGTGTCAGGTCCTGTAAGTTCCTGCCACAGCAATGAACAGTGAGAAGAATAAGTAAACCAAATAATTAAAAGCAAAGGAAAAAAATCTAGAGGGCAAGATGTTTCAACATGCAACTGTGCTCTGCTCAGTTTTCTAGACAAACAAAGCTCATTCTCCTCTCCACCGGCAGCCCCCTGTGACGGGTTTCTTGGGTGTCTAGGTTTTATTTGAACAGCACTGATCAAGGCATCTCTTTTCTGGTGTTGGTCTACTGCTTTTTATTTCACAACCTCATTCAGTTAAATATCACCACAAAGTTGAGAATGAGAACCAGCCAGAATTCACCAGAATGAGAACCAGCCTGAACTGCCTTGGGAGATGAGGATCTAAGTGACAGAGTCTCCGGACACACCAGAAGATAAGAAGCAGTGAAGAATAACAGAGCATAGGAAAAACACTGAAAACACAGGCTTGACTCTCCATCCCTCCTTAGTCACCAGAGCTCAGCAGAATCACTGTGTCCAGTGCCTCAGGAAACTCCGGGAGCCTAAGTGCTCTGCCAGCTCTATTAATAAACATGGCAGAAAAACAGAACTGCCTGGTGCAAGAGACCTGGGGAGCCTGGGGCACTGAAGGCCTGGGTCAGATCTGAACAGYGTGTTCTAGAGTGGGCTTTCTTAGGAAGGACAGCTCCCATCACCCTGCCTGGAGCTACAGCAGAAGAAACCAGGCACCCAGAGGTGCATCTGTGGTCCTCCACACTGGCTAGGCATCCCAACCACCCAAGGAGCTTCCCACAGAGCTGATTGGGCAACTGATGCCCAACTTCCTGAACCAGGTGTATAAGGCCAAGCTCTGTACTCTGAAGAGTCTGTGCAGCTGAGCTTTGATGGCACTCCCAGGTGGGAGCCCTGACCATGGCTGCCCAGTGAGACTGATGCTGGTGGCCTGGGGTTACAGTGGATCTTGACTGGAGTGGACACAGACTCTGGATTGGGCTTTGCTTACCCAGTGGTGGATGCACATACTCAATGCAATAATGAGCCAGAAGAGGAGACAGTTCATGGATCTGGAGGCCGACCATCATTTCTTCAGAGAAAGGATGCACTGTGCAGCCTGTGATGCCCAACATGGGCAGAGAGCCTCCTCAGAGTAACACGAGGAGAAGCAGGGCAGGCGATGGAAACACTGGTTAGCTAAAACAGGGAGACAGCAGAGGGCTGGCTCACACACCTTCCTGAGCATGCACACACTTGGTGTGGYGGGGACTGAGGGAGTGTCCCCACCAGACTTTCTTGTAGGATGCTGTGTGACTGCAAGTCTTGCCCAGGGAGGAGCATGCTGGTTTATGATCATAACTTTTCTTTCTTCCCCTCATTACTTCAGTCCCCACCACCTGGGGCAGTCACAGGGCAAGGGCTGGTTCCCACACATGAAACCTGGCTACATTTTTAAACCTATGTCAGAATTCCTCAGGGTGCTGGCTTGTGCTTTGGCCATCTGGCAAACCTGGGATCAACGGTGAGTGCCACATACTGCCTGGTGGCAAAAACAGCCCACTAGTTCTGTCTCAGGTCACCCTATCTGAATGCAAGTGGACCGAGGGAAGACCCCTCTGCTAGATCACACTGCTGCCTGGAATCTGAACCAGCAGAGTGGCCCATCTGGATGTCCCAAAGGTGGAAACGTTTGAGTACAAAGGAAGAGAAACAGCAACAGTAGCTGAGGGTAAAGTAAGGAAGAAGGGGGCTGGGCAGAGGAACTTCAACAGTCCATGCCCTGGAAAGCAGCTCCAAGCTAGAGGTGGCTCTGCCCCTTGGCTTAATTATATCAGCTGCCTAAAGGCATGAGGATGTGTGTCTGGAAATGGGGATGAAGACCAAGGGCATATTTCACAACATCGCAGCACTTGGATGGACAGAATGTTTTGTCCTCCTGGAATTTGTGTATTATAGCCCTTGTCCCTAGTGGGATGGTATAAGGAGATGGAGCTTGTGGCAGGTTACTAGGATTAGATGAGCTGGGAGGGTGGGGCCCCATGAAGTGGCTAATGCCCTTATAAGAAGGGACACAAGAGCTTTCCTTCCTCCTTGAGGACACAGGGAGGGCAGTGTCTACAAGACAGGAACATAGCCCTCGCCAGGAACCCAATCTGCTGGACTTGTAGTCTCCAGGGCCGTGAGAAAAAGACACCTGTGTCCCAGGCACCTGGCCTGTGGTGTTCTGTTATAGCAGCACAAACTCAGACAGAAAACACTACTACTGTACCACTGTACGGTTCAAAAGGCTCATAAATAATCAATCAGTTTTTTTTCCTAAACTTTGAACTTACAAGCAAGGAATTWAAAAAAAGTTGATAAAAAGGTTTGATGATGATCCAAGCAAAGATGTTGTCTACTTCCAGAAGACAAGGCCCTCCAGTCCCTCGACCAATTTATCAAATGGTAAATCACAATTGCATTCACATTCACAAGGAATCCCATAGCAAATACTCTGTGCAAACCAAGCCCCACCACCTACATAGCATTTTTCCAAAGACCTTAGCTTGTACAAATGTTAATGCTGGTCTACTAGAGAGGGTTAGTGGCTGGACATGTAAGAAAAAGGCATATTTCACCACAGTTTCAACAAAGAAAAAAGCTACAAGTCAATAAATACTTAATTTGGCTTAAATGCAAAACAGAACAGCCTCCTAAGGACAGCCAGGACAAAGCAGCCCTCACTTTTCGTAGATGATCTTCCTGGACTAACAGCCTTTCAGAGGTGAATTATCACAGTTTTTCTTTACTTTTCCCTTTCAGTACTAGAGGTGGAACCCAGGGCCCCATACATGCTGGGCAAGTTCTCTACCACTCAGCTACATTCCCAGGCCTTTTGATTTTGACACAGAGCCTCCCCAAGCTGGCCTTGAACTTGTGATCCTCAGCCTCCTAAATTGCTGGGATTACAGGCGTGCACCACCACGCCTGGCTACACACATTTAAACTCCAGCAATAATACCGATCTGTTTTCCAGAGCAGGCACACAGACCACATTCCATCAGCACTGGGTGTGTGAGAGCTCCTTCGTCCTTGCCACTCCTTGGAATTAACTGTCAGATGTCTTAGTGCTTGCAAGTCTGGAGAATGTACAAGACTATGATTTCTTCCTCTCAGAAGTGCCTATTCAGGGCTTGACCTCATTTTTCTCTTCAATTGCCTATTTTTTGCAGAACTGTGGAAGTTCCTGAAACAGTCTGGGTACTTAGGCCTTTGTAGGTCATGGATTTCAAACAAGTTTCTCACTCCCATAGCTGGGGAGGCCCCTCGTTGTGAAGTTCTTAATGTGATGGTACCTAATGTACTAGTCTTTTCCTCTTGTATTTGCCTTTTTAGCATCTTAAGAAATACTTCCTTATACCAAGATCATGATTATTCTACTATATTGCCTCCTTAAAAATACAGTATTGCATTTCATATTTACATCTCTGATCCATTGAAATTAGGTGAGTGTGCATGGGGTCCAATTTCAGTGCTCTCTAAGTAGTTGTACTATTGACCTAATTTTATACACTTTGTGTGTGTGTGTGTGTGTGTGTGTGTGTGTGTGTGTGTGTGTAGTGCTAGGGATTGAACCCAGGGCCTCATGCAAACTAGTTGAGATCTCTACCACTGAACTACATAACCAGCCCTTTACTTATCTAATTCTGTATCCATATCCCCATTGTATTGATGATGATGATGATGATGATGATGATGATGATGATGATTTGTACTGGAGATTGAACACAGGGATACTTAACTACTGAGCTACATCCTTAGCCCTTTATATTTTTTATTTTGAGAAAGGGTCTTGCTAAATTGCTTAGGGTCTTGCTAAGTCACAGAGGCTGGCCTCAAATTTGTGATCATCCTGCCTCAGCCTCCCAGGCCACTGGGATTACAGGCATGTGCCACCATGCCTGGCTGATAATAAAGTTTTTTTAAAAATGAATCTTTGTATCTGATTAAGAAGCAAACTTTTGGGTGGGGGTAGAGCTCAGTGGTAGAGCACTTGCCTACCATGTGTGAGGCACTGGGTTTGATCCTTAACCCCATATAAAAATAAACCAATAAAGTTATTGTGTCCATCTACAACTAAAAATATATTTTTCTTTAAGAAAGAAGCAAATTTTTTGATAAAGAGCCAATTGATAATTGTCTTAGGCTTTGTGGGCCACAAATAGTTATCTGCATATTCTTTTTTTTCCAATCCTTTAAAAATATCAAAACATTCTTAGTGAGAATTGAGGAGGCATAGAAAAATATGCCACATGACATTTAGTCCATTGGCCACAGTTTGCTGACCTCTGTGTTAGAGCTGGTCCTGCCTGTTTTATTCTTTAAAATTAACTTGACATCATTAGTCCTCAGGGGAATGAAGATCAAAACTACAAGGGGAAAAAGAACACAGAACTGGAGACTCACACTTCTGGATTTCAAAACTTACTGCAAAGCTACAATTACCACTGTAGTGTGGCACTGCGTAAGGAAGGCCACACAGGCCAATGGAAGAGAACTGAGAGTTCAGAAATGGCTCAAACCCAAACATCTGTGGGCAACTGCTTTTTGACAAGGGAGATGGGACTGTTAAATGGGAAGGAATTGACAGCCAACAATTTGCACTGGAAAAACACATGCAAAAGAATGAGTGGGATCCCTAACTCCCTCCATATACAAAAGGTATCAACAAACTAAGTGAAAAAAGAAAACATGGGAATAAATCCTAGTGACCTTAGAGTTGGCAAGGAATTCTTGGATTTGATACAACAAAAGAAAAAACAGAAAAGTAATGTCATTCCTTAGGCCTCAAGCCTTCTTTCTGGAATTGCTGTCCTCCTGCTTTAAGTCTAGTCCTGATGATTCCTTCCCTGAGGACTGCTGCTGGCCAGCAGTCTCTGTCACAGTTTGAAAATGTCAACTTTTTTTTTTTTTTTTTGATGTACTGGGAATTGACCCCAGGGCCTTGTGCAAGCGAGAGGCAAGCATTCTACCACTCCACTGAGCAGTTGGTAGAGTTCCTGCCTAACAAACAAAAAACAAACAAACAAAAAAACTTTTGGATACCCTTGTCTAGTATGAGATAACCATATTTATGTGGGTTTGTCTCTGTGTCCTCTATTCTGTATCACTGGTCTACAACTCTATTTTGGTGCCAATACCATGCCATTTTTGTTACTATAGCTCTGTAATATAGTTTAAGGTCTGGGATTGTGATGCTTCCTGCTACACTTTTCTTGCTAAGGATTGCTTTAGCTATTCTGGGTCTCTTATTTTTCCAAATAAATTTCATGACTGCCTTTTTTATTTCTATAAAGAATGTCATTGGGATTTTAACAGGAATTGCATTAAATCTGTATAATGCTTTTTGGTAATATGGCTACGTTGACAATATAAATTCTGCCTATCCTAAACAAGAGCATGGGAAATCTTTCCATCTTCTGAGTTTTTCCTCAATTTCTTTCTTTACTATTCTGTAGTTTTCATTGTAGAGGTCTTTCACCTCTTTTGTTAGACTGATTCCCAGGTATTTTATTTTATTTTATTTTTTTTAGTCTATTGTGAGTGGAGTAGTTTTCCTAATTTCTCTTTCAGTGGGTTCTTCGCTGATGTATAGGAATGTGTTTGATTTATGGGTGTTGATTTTATATCCTGCTACTTTGCTGAATTAATTTATTAGTTCTAGAAATTTTCTGGAGGACTTTTTTGGATCTTCTAAATATAGAATCATGTCATCAGCAAAAAGTGTATTTGAGTTCTTTTTTCCTATACATATATCCCTTTAATTTCTTTTGTCTGCCTGATTGCTCTGGCTAGAATTTCAAGGACTATGTTGAATAGAAGTGTTGAAAGAGGGCATCACTGTCTTAGTTCAGTTTTTAGAGGAAATGCTTCCAATTTTTCCCTGTTTAGAATGATGTTGGCCTTGGGCTTTGCATAGGTAGCTTTTACAATGTTGAGGTATGATCCTACTACTCCTAGTTTTTTCTAGTGTTTAGAACTTGAAGAGGTGCTGTATTTTATCAAATGCTTTTTCAGCATCTATTGAGATATCACATATATATATATATATATATATATTTTTTTTTTTTTTTTTTTTTTTGGGGAGGGGTGCTGGGGATTGAACCCAGGGCCTTATGCATGCAAGGCAAGCACTCTACCAACTGAGCTATTATCCCTAGCCCCTATCATTCTTATCTTTTAAGTCAATTGATATGATGAATTACATTTTTTATTTCCATATATTGAACTAACCTTGCATCCCTGGGAGGAACCCCACATGATTGTGGTGCACTATCTTTTTAATATGTTTTTGTATGTGATTGTATTGAGAATTTTTGCTTCTATGTTCATTAGGGATATTAGTCTGAAGTTTTCTTTCCTTGATGCATCTTTGTCTGGTTTTGGTATCAGGGTGATATTAGCTTCATAGAATGAATTTGGAAGGGTTCCCTCCTTTTCTATTTCAATGGATACTTTGAGGAGTATTGGTGTTAATTCTTCTTTGAGAGTCTTGTAGAACTTGGCTGAGAATCCATCTGGTCCTGGGCTTTTCTTTGTTGGTAGGCTTTTGATAGTGTTTTTCTATTTCATTACTTGAAATTGATCTGTTTAAACCATGTATGACCTCYTCATTCAGTTTGGGTAGGTCAGATGTCTAGAAATTTGTCGATGTCTTCGATATCTTCTATTTTGTTAGAGTATAAATTTTCAAAATGGGTTCTAATTATCTTCTGTATTTCAGACATGTCCATTGTGATATTTTCTTCTTCATCCTGTATTTTAGTAATTTCTCTCTTTGGTAGCATGGCCAGGGGTTTATCTATTTTTTTCAAAGAACCAACTTTTWGTTTTGTCAATTTTTTCAATTGTTTCTTTTGTTTCGATTTCATTCATTTCAGCTCTGATTTTAATTATTTCCTGTCTTCTACTGCTTTTCATGTTGATTTGTTCTTCTTTTTCTAGGGCTTTGAGATGTAGTGTTAGGTCATTTATTTGTTGACTTTTTATTCTTTTAATGAATGCACTCAATGCAATAAACTTTCCTCTTAGTACTACCTTCATAGTGTCCCAGAGATTTTGATATGTTGTATCAGTGTTCTCATTTACCACTAAGATTTTTTTTATTTCATCCTTGATTTCTCCTACTATCCATT